ACTTTCGTACCAGCTCTCCCCTACACTAGCTGGTCTGCTGCAGAAGTCCAAAAGTCTACGTATTAGGCCTTGGCTTCGGTGACTAATACTGCAGATCGGAGAGCAAATTTCATGATATCAGAAAGTATTTTCATTACCGGTTTTTTATTTCGCTATTTAGATTTTGCGCATTTCTAAGGGTAACGGAAACGCACCTGGAGAGTGAGAACGATGTCTGACGTTATTAACCCAAAAACACAGTCTGCGTCGTGACCGTAGACTGTTCGTGACACAGTTTGGAGTCTTGTTGATCCCAGCTATGGGTGCTTGCGTCCAGTGGCGAATGGTTTTATTTAGCGTTTCAATATCAATCGCTAACCTTCTATCCTGATGGATTAGGTTGGATGCGCACTTCCACTCTGATCTGAAGCTCCGCATGTACATGATTATTCATGCAGTATGTGTGAAATCGGTGACTGGTTGGTCCGAGTGCAAGATTATTTATTTTCATTGGCGTACGATAAAGATGAGAAAAGCTGCGGTTCTTATAGATTTATAGTCTGTTTTCTTTGGGGTTCCGATAATTGGCCAGCTGTCAGAGGAATAGTATTTTGTCGATTGCAACAAATGTTCAGAACTGATTCAAAAACTAACTGGTGACGCCTGTCCAATGTACTCCTGCGACGACCATAGGCTTATCAGCGCAATGCCTCAAATATGAGTCTGTGTCACGAACAGTGTTCAGTCGCAAAGCAGACTGTTTTTTTGAGGCTAATAACGTCGGACATCGTCCGCACTCTCTGTGTGCGTTTCCGTTACCCTTCAAATTGAGCAAAATCTAAATAGCGAAATAAAAAAAAACTGGTAATAATAATGATTATTATAATAAGCCGTCCCACTACATTGTTACCGGTGAAAGAATTTCTTGAAACTTTGTGCAAACGAACTCGGCATACTGCACCTACTTTTTACCAAATATTTAGGGTGGATCACTTTGGGAACTGTATTAATTTTAAACTTTCAATTTGTGACGAAAAAATGTAGCCAAATTACGCTTTTTACGGCTTCAATTCCTCCTGGGTCTCATATTTTCAAAGCAATTAAGCCATGTTTGGTGTCAAATTGTTCCTTGGGATGGCAGCAACAATAACAGTTATAAATTTTAGAACTAGCACTGTGATAATTGGGAGTTATTCATTGATTTATCCCCATACGTTGGTTTTAGGGGGGTGCTCATCTAAATTTGGCCATATTTTTTTCTATGAATGATTCAATGTTTGTACTGCGAAGGGTTTGATGAAAAGCTGTCCCTTGGAGAAATGGAGACTTTACATACATTTAGACTTGTATGATAACTCTCCAAAATGATAACTGCATTTATACATTTTTCAAACATTCTTGTGAACATCAGAATCTACTTTTCAGTTCACAAAGTGCTTTCTGATAATGTTTCTTAAATAAATGCAGCAACAACTGATAGTCTGTTCAGGTATCTTTATTTGGGCTTGTAAAAATTCAGAAAAGTATCATGGTACTTTGCGTGACCACAGTTTTGGCCTGCGCGCCCAAATTTTGGCCTGCGTGCCCAACTTTTTCAGGTTGGGAGCGCATGCGCTCCGAGGTCCAAAAGTTAGTCTGGAGGGTTGCCATCCAGTTCTCACTGAGGCCTCCCCACCAAATTTTAGCGCTATTTTTTCTATTAGGAAGGGTAGGAAAGGCAGCGGTACTGCTTCCATTTTCTTCGATTCACTTGCCGTCAAACAAATTTCACTCAATCTTTTCTCCACTTTTGAATACCACGCCTTTACTTTTATCAGCCCTCCAATTCTATGTATTACAGTTTATAGACCACATAAACAGTGTGCTGCTTTTATCAACGAGTTCTCAGAGTTTCTATCAATAATCCACACTTCCTACAACATGATTATATCCGGTGATTTTAGCCTACACATAGACAATCAGTCAGATCATCTATCTAAAGGTTTTATCAATCTGCTGAACTCAATGGATTTTACGCAGCATGTCTTGCAGCCGACTCACAATAGAGGACACTCTCTGGACCTTGTCATTAGCCATGGCCTGTCCACCAGTGTGTCCTCTGTTGTTGACTTGGCTGTATCAGACCACTACTGCGTGTTTTTCGACATCACTGGTTTTATCCAACTGGCTACTTTTATCCAAAGCTACTTGTCTCTTTACTTTTGGATGCGAAGAAAAACAAATATTTCTCTTCCAAAAGACGATGCCACCAGAAATCAGTGGGTAGCTTTTTTTGTTTGCTGGCAGCAAACAGCCACGGCCAAGGGGAACGTTAGCTGTTTGTGCTCAGCATTTCACCAAAGACAGCTTTGTCAATAAAGGATAATTCGACACAGGATAAGCGTTTCAGCTGCTTCTCAAACCTGAAGCAGTTACATTGATCAAGCGCTCGGAGCCACAAGCTGTAAATAACCATATAACAGCAAATAATGTAAGTGAAGCTAACGTGATACGGGTGGCTAGCAGGACCGCTAGCGATAGTTAGCACTAACAACTGGCCTAAAACGCAGGCTTTGTAAAATATCTGAAGATAATGCCTGTATCGGTCGCGACTGTCCGTGGCTCACAGACACAGAAGCTGTAAGTTGCTTTTACTGCATAAGCCAACCTGACGTAATAGCCAGTTGATTGTGGCTGTAGCACAGCGGCTAACATAGCCAAGTTACTGTTGCTACTGTTTGTGTCCTAAAAATGCAAGAGTGATATCAGGGGAAATTCTACAGAAGGTGTGTGAACATAAACCTCATTTGAAGCTAACTTTTAATACTTGTTTGTAATTTGGATCCTTGGTACAACTGTTCACAGTAACAGAACTTGCTGTCTGTAAAACCTGTATTGCAAGGGTTTGTCTCTGTGGTTATGACCGCTCGGTTACCAGCTACTGCATGTTAGTTTGCGTGCCGTGCTAATTAAAAATGCTCCTGGTTGACTTATATGCAGTAATTCTGATCGATATGCTTGTGTTACTTCGGTAAGCATCAATGTGGCAGTTTCATCATAACGTTGCCCGACTGTAGCCACTACAGTTAGTGATCACTTCACTTATCCATGACCGGGATCAGCCGGATACTTCACAAACGTCTGAGCAAGCTCTCTGGTGCTACCATGAAAGCAATGCGAAATGTAGAAGCTCTACCGGTTTACAAATGATTTCTCTGCACTACCTTGACATAATTTCATCCCCCTTTAGAAATTGTCGTGGCTAACAAAAAGCTGAAAAAGGCGGAGATTAAATAGGTAATTCTTTCCTGTAGAAGTGATCAATTCGCTAGCTCCACATAGGCAACTTGTCCGCACTAACGGAACTTACGGTCTGCAAAACCTGTATTATGTTCATAACATAACCGAGCTCCCTCAAGCTGTCGCGTACTATCCATAAAGCTGCTTTCAAAGTCAATGCCAAAATGCGAATACACGCGTTATGGACACGTCAAGCCGCTTTCACACCGGACGTGAAACGAATTTTTCACGCAAAAAATGAGCTACATTCAAAGTCAATGCAAAGACGCGAATACAGGCGTTATGGGCGCGTTAAGCAGCTTTCACACCAGACGCGAAAAAAATTTTTCGTGCGACAGATAAGCTCCATTCAAAGTCAATGCAAAGACGTGAATACAGGCGTTATGGGCGCGTTAAGCAGCTTTCACACCGTAATACACACCGAAGCAGTCCATAAGCTGTTGGTCCACTTTTAGCTGCTCCTCACTGTCCATGTTCCCCTCTAAACTCAGACCCACCGGATTTCTACGGTCTCCGGTCGACACTTAGGCATGTCGACCCGTTCTACAAATGTGTCTATTTGGGGTGGATTCTAGCTTTCCCTGCATCCTGGCTAAGAAGTAGAAAAACCGCTGTACTCACCAACTGTTGGCGAAGCAAACTGTAGCCGATAGCAAATTCGTGCTCGAGCTGCCAGACTTTCGCACTGCGTCCTCTACTTTCGCCGTTGTGTTTATTAGAACAAGTTAATTTCGTTAGATCTATACACGTACTGCGTTAGATTGCAGAATATGACTGTCAATTCCTTCGGGAGTTTCCAGTTTCACTCTCAAGCCGGACCAGGAAAACTGCGTTCTGCTGCCTAGTCCCGCCTAGATCCACCCTCCACAGAGCTGGCCAGTCAGAAGAAAGTGGGCACACGGGGAGTGGGGGCCATAGCGGAGGAGCCACCCCAATGAGGCGTTTCAGGCAGAGACTACTATGGCCTACTAATGGGGTTTTTTGAGGATGGCAGTATGAGCGAAATAAATACCCTTTCTTTACTTTGCGCGATCAGGAGTACTCTAGGGGATTCAAAGACCAAAATATAAACTTGGAAAAATAGCATATTAGGTCACCTTTAAGAGAGTTAAACTTAACCATAGCAGGCTGCTGCATGGGTTGACCGGGTTCAATTCCCGGCCAACGCAAAGGCTCAGAAATTTACTTGCTTGTTTGCCGAAAAGTGAATTACTGTATTGCAATGCTTGACCCCCTCTTCAAACCTGACCAAGAAATCCACACCAGCTGAAAATGGGTTGCGCTTTTACGAAAACCTACAAAAGAAGGAATCAAGGCTTTCATTAATGTCCATTATTTTTGACCCATTGCGGGAACCAAAGATAATTTTGACTTATACTTCTTCTGGTGCAACATTTATTTGAGGAAAAGGAAAATTAATACAAATCAGTGACAAGTATCCAGAGGACTAACACAAAGAAAAACATAATTGACAAAGAACAGTGTGAGGGATCTCAGACACTAGATATATTTACCAGCTGTTGCTGCCTAGCTCAATCTAAGAAATTCACACTGTAAATAAATAACAGCTGGCAATAAAATCCATGAACGCAAACCAAACTCAAATTCTGCAAAACAGCACAGAAAATGACACTTTAAAATCAAAACCAATTTTATCAATCAAACACTGTACACATAGAATTTGCCACAATACATTTAAGATACATCCCCGGTGAAAGGAAGCTATAGGTTCTATAGTGAAGGGGAGCATGGCCGAGCAGTCCAAGGCGTTGGATTTAGGCTCCAGTCTCTTCAGGGGCGAGGGTTCAAATCCCTCTGCTGCCATTATGCTCCCAAGCTGAAATACACACAGTCTTAATAATGACACGTCAAGTAAAGCAGACTCCAGGCTAGAGCGCGCAATTGCATTGCAAAGGGCAATTGTGAATTCTAAAAAAAATAGAACCTGGACTCTCAAACGAAACTGCAACTGAAGTACTAATCCAGGAATTGAAGGCTGGGCCATTTGTGTATGAAGTTCAGATCACATCTCTAGAACAGCTGTAACACTACCGAGGTGAAAGGTGATGTGGCTCAAAGTAATTCCAAACAGCAGCGTTGGACACAGGCAATAAAGGCCCGGTGCATTTGTGGTATAGTGGTGAGCATAGATGCCTTCCGAGCAGTTGACCTGGATGTTATTACCGTCCAGCGCGGTGACAGTATGATCACTACAGCATTTTGCTCAGTTACGTGGCAGTGGAGCGCAAAAGCAACACGAGATCCCGTCTAAAATCCTGTCCGAAAGGCCCACAACAGGAAAACATTTGGTAAAATTTTCACATCAAACTGCAAAAAACGAGGATCAAGGCCTTCATTCAAGCCCACTTCTTTTAAAAGATAGCAGTGAAAAAAATGATCTTGACAAGTTTTGCTTCTCTTAGTGTGACATTTACATAAATAAAAGATAAGCAGTACAAATTAGAGAGAAATGTCTAAAAGACCTGCTGGAAAAAGCATCATTCTGAAACAACAGTCGGAGGGGAACAGAACTCGAGGCGTGTTTACCTGTAACTCTGGCTCAATTCACTGTAGTCACTTGAGCAGTGCAGAAATTTCAGCAAGGAACTAAATTAAATTTGTTTTCTGCAAAAGTACATGGCAACTGGCACTTCAAATCAACAACAATTTCAAATTCCTGGCATTGTACACAACAAGTTTTTCAAAATACATTTCTTATAAATGCCGAGCCTCAAGACCTTCCAGGCTCCACAGGGAATGGTAGCTTGGCCGAAGGGTCCAAAGCACTGGAATAAGGAGTGAGTCTCTTTGAAGGCCAGGATTTGAATCTTTCTGCTACCATGTAGATCCCAGGCTGGAAAACATTGCGTTTTAATGATGAAATGACAGGTAAAAGAGCTTTCTCATTGAAGAGGCTGACTGCATGGCAAATAGCCGGTGTGAATTAAGAGACAAATAGAACCTGGACCCTCAGACAAGGAACGGCAAATGAAGCACCACCTTACGCAGGAATTGAGGCCTATGCCTTTTGTATCTGAAGCACAGAACATATTCCGAGAACAGCTGTAACATAACCTCTCCGGAAGGTAAAAGTTCATATGACCCAAAGTCGGTGAGAACTGCAGGAGTTGAGGTATAAAATGTAAGATTGTGGCATTGGTGGTATAGTGGTAAGCATAGCTGCCTTCCAAGCAATTGCCCCAGGTTCGATTCTCGGCCAACGCAAAGGCTCATAAATTTATTTGCTAATCTGCTGAAAAGTGAATTACTGTAGTGCAATTGCAGTGCTTGACCCCCTCTTTAAACCTGACCAAGAAATCCACACCAGCTGAAAATGGGTTCGCCTTTTACTAAAACCCACAAAAGAAGGAATCAAGGCTTTCAAAAGTGTCCATTATTTTTGACCCATTGCGGTAACCAAAGATCATTTTGACTTATACTTCTTTTGGTGCAACATTTACATGAGGAAAAGGAAAATTAATACAAATCAGTGACAAGTATCCAGAGGACTAACCCAAAGAAAAACATAATTGACAAAGAACAGTGTGAGGGATCTCAGACACTAGATATATTTACCAGCTGTTGTTGCCTAGTTCAATCTTAGAAATTCACACTGTAAACAAATAACAGCTGGCAATAAAATCCATGAATGCAAACCAAACTCAAATTCTGCAAAACAGCACAGAAAATGACACTTTAAATGAAAAGCAATTTTATCAATCAAGCACTGTACGCATAGAATTTGCCAAAATACATTTAAGATACATCCCCAGTGAAAGGAAGCTGTAGGTTCTATAGTGAAGGGTAGCATGGCCGAGCGGTGCAAGGCGCTGCGCTCAAGCTGGGGAACAATCGTCAGGTAGATTGCTCATTAACATGCTCAGGTGATTGAATGCGGACCACGTTTATAGTAAATAATAACAACGAAAACATCGATAAAAATGCTTAAGTATCATTGATGATGATATTTTGCCCTCGAAACTCATCATAGCCACGGCAACGAACATTACCTAAAAGCTACAAACATTAGGAGTAAAATTACAGGTAGATGACAAGGTGTTCCGTTACATAGCTAGCAAGATGACGACCGTTAAATCTCTCGATATGACGGGTCACCCCGGTGAAAAGTAACTTTTAAAAATTAAAACTGTGTCATATACAACAACGTAATAAATGTGTAAATACTCACCATTAAGTTCGAGCAAATTTGAACAAACTGTCAATTGTGATTACGTCTTCCTTACAGTGACAGTATCCCCGCTACTTGATAAACGCCCCCTTTGAAAAAAAATTTGTTTCTTCTCCGCTCCAACATTTCTCTGCCCTGATTGGTCAAATGTTGGAAGCCGGGGAAAATTCGCAAAGAGGATTGGTGGCAGAATGTTGGAGCCGCATATATCATTGGCCATACTGTCCAACATTTCCAAAATGTTCAACGGCCGATCCTTCGGCAGCTGGAGCTATTTCGGCAAAGCCACTTTACATTTTTTGATACCTCCAAACGGTAGAAATCTGTGCAAAGACAGCATTTTCTCCAAAACCGTCTTCTCTGAGGAAAATTCTGGATATTTTGAGCAGTTTGATTACCTGCAAATGGTAAAGTCATTCATCCTCCAGCAAACCTTCAAGAGTGCCCCCTGAGATTCAGTTATGGCATGGCTCATACCAAGTAAGTGAGCTACCTCAGCTGCCGCATGATAATTAATAAAGTTTTGCTCTCCCTCGTTACTTGTCCCAACGTAGGCTTGCAAGTTTAGTTTATATAAATATGGCATCATATGGCGTCATTCGTCATACGCTTTCAACATCCAGCTTGCATCGTCCCCAGATAAAATCATTCACAATGCTGAATTTGAGCTGAAGTTTTTGTTGGCACTGTTTAATCCTGTCCTGGAAAAGATGAATGCAGAAACTTGCAATGTAATGTTGGCGCAACCATGTTCCACCCCGAACATTTTGTGTATTCTCCTTGTCGTTATTGTCAGATCAAGCATCTGTCCATGCTTTTGAGGGTAAAATGACGGAGAAGCCCTGTCCAAATGCAAAAGTGAAAGAATAAAATTGGGCAAGGACTCTGAGATCAATCAGAATTTTCACTGAAATTGAGGAAATTCATCTGTAAAATTTCCCAGAAACAAAGATGGGGAATTAGCTCAAATGGTAGAGCGCCGGCTTAGCATGCGAGAGGTGGCGGGATCAATGCCCGCGATTCTCCAGCCTTGCCTTTTTGTGCCCTCACAGGCGTGCTCCTGCATTCACTGCCGAGGCGGACTAGGACGGAGTCAATTGTGCAATACTGTGCCTGTTTCTGAGCAGAAGAGACTCTTCGCTGCCTTTATCTCAGAGGATAGCTCTGACGTGTATTCCCTCTGAGCCCTACTGCTGGAGCACTGAAGCCCACCAGGACCCCTGGCATTGACAGCAATGATGAACAGCAAGCAATGTCTCAATTTTAGTTTGAAGTCAAAGTCAACTAACACTATGCATCATTAGTTTTGCTTGTCCCAGGAGTAGTGAAAGCAAGGACAGCTGCAGGGTCATTGCTGAAATTAAGATAAGGTTCAATTGCCCTTGTTTTACAAGACCTGCAAAATGTCATTGCAGACATTTGGAATTGCGTTCTACAGCGCATACATTTTCAGGCCTTTGATTGCTATTTCCTCCTTGTTAGTATAGTGGTGAGTATCCCCGCCTGTCACGCTGGGAGACGGGGTTCGATTCCCTGACAGGGAGTTGGAGGTTTTTCCCAGTCACTGTCAAAACAAAGAAAAAATGCTGACTCATTTTCGTTGTGAATGACATTGTGAAACCTAAAGTCTGTCCTTTCAACACCATTGCACATGGCCTGGGGATAAAAAGTGCTTTTTTCACAAGCTGAGCATTGAGCACTGATATTTCTCCAGGCTAAAAGTGGTTTTCAACATACAGCTCTGCCATGAATCCCATTCTGCCCAGTGGCTTTCGCTTTTCTTTTTCTTGCCCAGCACTACATCATTCTGTTCGTGCAGCCCACAGTGCATTCGTTTTTTTGTGCAGCTGACTTTTTTTTTGTTCACTAGGCGTTTAACGACTGGAGTCATCTTGTTTTTTGCACAAGAGAAAGTAAAAACAGAACTCAATCTGGGAATGTGGAGAGAGGCCCTCATCCTGCCGAAAACCCGGATTGAACCAGGGACCTTTAGATCTTCAGTCTAACGCTCTCCCAACTGAGCTATTTCAGCAAAGCTGCTTTTATGTTTTCTGATACCTCCAAATGGTGGAAATCTCTGCGAAGACAGCATTTTCTCCAAAAAACCGTCTTCTTCTGAGGAAATTTCAGGCTATTTTGAGCAGTTTGATTACCTGCAAATGGTAAAAATCATTCATCCTCCAGCAAACCTTCAAGAGTGCCCCCTGAGATTCAGTTATCGCATGGCTCATACCAAGTAAGTGAGCTACCACAGCTGCCGCATGAAAAGCTCAAACAGTGCCCTCACAGCAGTTTCTCATTTGGTATCATTTCATGCTCAAGATGGAGCCTTGATTTATTTCCATCCCACAAAAACACAGTGCGGTGGTCTTGTCTATTTCCATGATGCTTTGCACTTTTTTATTACTCTCATAGCTTAATAAAGTTTTGCTCTCCTCGTTACTTGTCCCCAACGAGGGCTTGCAAGTTTAGTTTTTATAAATATGGCATGAAAGACCTTGAGTCATTCATACACGCTTTCAACATCCAGCTTGCATCGTCCCAGATAAAATCATTCACAATGCTGAATTTGAGCTGAAGTTTCTGTTGGCACTGTTTAATCCTGTCCTGGAAAGATGAATGCAGAAACTTGCAATGTAATGTTGGCGCAACCATGTTCCACCTCGAACATTTTGTGTATTCTCCTTGTCGTTGGCTGTCAGATCAAGCATCTGTCCATGCTTTGAGGGTAAAAATGACGGAGAAGCCCTGTCCAAATACAAAAGTGAAAGAATAAAATTGGGCAAGGACTCTGAGATCAATCAGAATTTTCACTTTCGAAATTGAGGAAATTCATCTGTAAAATTTCCCAGAAACAAACATGGGGGAATTAGCTCAAATGGTAGAGCGCTTAGCATGCGAGAGAGCGGGTGCCGATGCCACATTCTTGCCTTTTTGTGCCCTCACAGGCGTGCTCCTGCATTCACTGCCGAGGCGGACTAGGACGCCGGAGTCAATTGTGCAATACTGTGCGTGTTTCTGAGCAGAAGAGACTCTTCGCTGCCTTTATCTCAGAGGATAGCTCTGACTTGTTTTTCCTCTGAGCCCTACTGCTGGAGCACTGAAGCCCGCCAGGACCCCTGGCATTGACAGCAATGATGAACAGCAAGCAATGTCTCAATTTTAGTTTGAAGTCAAAGTCAACTAACACTATGCATCATTAGTTTTACTTGTCCCAGGAGTAGTGAAAGCAAGGACAGCTGCAGGGTCATTGCTGAAATTAAGATAAGGTTCAATTGCCCTTGTTTTACAAGACCTGCAAAATGTCATTGCAGACATTTGGAATTGCGTTCTACAGCACAAAAATTTTCAGGCCATTAATTGCCATTTTCTCCTCGTTAGTATAGTGGTGAGTATCCCGCCTGTCACACGGGAGACCGGGGGTTCAAATTCTCGACGGGAGTTGGAGGTTTTTTTCCCAGTCACTGTCAAAACAAAGAAAAATGCTGACTCATTTTCGTTGTGAATGACATTGTGAAACCTAAATTCTGTCCTTTCAACACCATTGCACATGGCCTGGGGATAAAAAAGTGCTTTTTTCACAAGCTGAGCATTGAGCACTGATATTTCTCCAGGCTAAAAGTGGTTTCCAACATTCAGTTCTGCCATGAATCCCATTCTTGCCCAGTGGCTTTCGCTTTTCTTTCTTGCCCAGCACTACATCATTCTGTTCGTGCAGCCCACAGTGCATTCGTCTTTTTTGTGCAGCTGACTTTTTTGTTCACTAGGCAAGCGAACGACTGGAGTCATCTTGTTTTTTGCACAAGAGGAAGTAAAAACAGCACTCAATCTGGGAATGTGGAGAGAGGGCCCTCATACTGCCAAAACCCAGGATTGAACCAGGGACCTTTAGATCTTCAGTCTAACCCTCTCCCAACTGAGCTATTTCAGCAAAGCTGCTTTATATTTTCTGATACCTCCAAATGGTGGAAATCTCTGCGAAGACAGCATTTTCTCCAAAAACCGTCTTCTCTGAGGAAATTTCAGGCTATTTTGAGCAGTTTGATTACCTGCAAATGGTAAAATCATTCATCCTCCAGCAAACCTTCAAGAGTGCCCCCTGAGATTCAGTTATGGCATGGCTCATACCAAGTAAGTGAGCTACCACAGCTGCCGCATGAAAAGCTCAAACAGTGCCCTCACAGCAGTTTCTCATTTGGTATCATTTCATGCTCAAGATGGAGCCTTGATTTATTTCCATCCCACAAAACACAGTGCGGTGGTCTTGTCTATTTCCATGATGCTTTGCACTTTTTTATTACTCTCATAGCTTAATAAAGTTTTGCTCTCCCTCGTTACTTGCCCCAACGTAGGCTTGCAAGTTTAGTTTTTATAAATATGGCATGAAAGACCTTGAGTCATTCGTCATACGCTTTCAACATCCAGCTTGCATCGTGCCAGATAAAATCATTCACAATGCTGAATTTGAGCTGAAGTTTCTGTTGGCACTGTTTAATCCTGTCCTGGAAAGATGAATGCAGAAACTTGCAATGTAATGTTGGCGCAACCATGTTCCACCCCGAACATTTGGTGTATTCTCCTTGTCGTTGGCTGTCAGATCAAGCATCTGTCCATGCTTTGAGGGTAAAAATGACGGAGAAGCCCTGTCCAAATACAAAAGTGAAAGAATAAAAATTGGGCAAGGACTCCGAGATCAATCAGAATTTTCACTCGAAATTGAGGAAATTCATCTGTAAAATTTCCCAGAAACAAAGATGGGGAATTAGCTCAAATGGTAGAGCGCTCGCTTAGCATGCGAGAGGTAGCCTTGCCTTTTGTGCCCTCACAGGCGTGCTCCTGCATTCACTGCCGAGGCGGACTAGGACGCGGAGTCAATTGTGCAATACTGTGCCTGTTTCTGAGCAGAAGAGACTCTTCGCTGCCTTTATCTCAGAGGATAGCTCTGACTTGTTTTCCCTCTGAGCCCTACTGCTGGAGCACTGAAGCCCGCCAGGACCCCTGGCATTGACAGCAATGATGAACAGCAAGCAATGTCTCAATTTTAGTTTGAAGTCAAAGTCAACTAACACTATGCATCATTAGTTTTACTTGTCCCAGGAGTAGTGAAAGCAAGGACAGCTGCAGGGTCATTGCTGAAATTAAGATAAGGTTCAATTGCACTTGTTTTATTAAGACCTGCAAAATGTCATTGCAGACATTTGGAATTTGCGTTCTACAGCACAAACATTTTTCAGGCCATTAATTGCCATTTTCTCCTCGTTAGTATAGTGGTGAGTATCCCGGCCTGTCACACGGAGACCGGGGTTCGATTCCCCGGACGGGAGTTGGAGGTTTTTCCCAGTCACTGTCAAAAAAGCCGGGATAAACTTTCTACCTTAAATTTATCTCCAGGCTAAAATGGTTTTAACGCTCCGCTTTTCTTGGTCCTTTTGCCAGCTCTATCTTTCCAAGTCCAGATTCATTCTGTTTGAGCCCATTTCTCTTTAACAGTGATTCTTGTACTCAAACGGGCTAAAACCCCCTTTGCCGAATACCATTATTGGAAAAGGAACCTCAACGCAACCAGCAAACCAAAGGGCCCGGCTTAGTTTTTACTTTCATAAAATCTTCTTTTCTAATCCAAGGTGCAACTTTTTTGCAAGTTTTTCAAAAGTCTCTCTGGAAATTTCAGCTATTTCAAAGTTGTTACCTCAAATGGTAATCATTCATCCTCAACAAACCTTCAAGTCCCCGAGTTCATATCCATGGCTCCTACCAAGTAAGTTCTCAGCTACATAAGCTCAAACAGTGCCCTCTTTCTCATTGATCATTTATGCTCAAGATTTTTTATAAAACCCCCAGTGGCTTGTCGCATTCATCTTGCCTTTGACTTTTACTTACATAAATTTATTTTAATTTCTGTCCCCGTTCTTTAGTTTATTGAATTCATAAAATTGCAAAAGCTTGAATCCAATATCACCCTTTCACATCCTGAAGTCGAAAAATCTTCAATGTGAATTAATAAGTCGCTGCATTCAACTTCTGAAAAATTGCAACTTCACAATAATTTTGCGCAAATTTGATACGAAATTTTCACTTTTGGGTAAATAGACTGTATGCTTGGGAAAATAAGCCAACCTGTCCAGAAAAGTAAGAAATCAAATTGGGCCCCGAGATCAATCAATTTCCGAAATGGGAATTCAGCTAAATTTACCCAGCAGTCCCTTAGTGATTTAGTCTGCAGTTGGGGGCCCCTTTCAGCCCCTTTAGCCCTCTACAGTAAATGCCCACTCCATTTTTAAAGGAAGTCATATCGCATGGTTTCTGGCACGAACCGCAGCCCTATTCAGAGGAAAGAAACTTTCCCTTTTTAAGCAGTGAATACCTTCTGCAGGTTGACGCAAAATAAAACATTTTGGTTAGCAAATCCTAAACTTATGATTGTTTACAACCCAGTGCATTACGGACTTGTTTTCTTCAAGTTAGTCATTCCTGTTTTACCTGAAAGTTTTGGGCATGATTGGTTCTGACGAACGGCCGGGTTTATTTCCTTTTAATGTGTGAACTCTTTTCCCGGGAAACGGGAATTGTTCCTTTCCGTTGGAGTTTCTAAACTTCAGCCAAAAGAAAATCATTTTCCTGGACCCATATGGGGAACCTAAGCTTCCTTTACACTTCCGGCAAATGAGCATTTTTTTCAAAACTCATTGGACTGATGGCTCTAGTATTTTACCACAGGCCCAAGCAGTCCCATTCTTGAAGAGAAGGGCTTTTCTTTATCTACCTGTTCCGAGCCCATTTTTTCTCCCATTTCTGTTTCAAGGGAATTTGACTTTTTTTCTCCAAAATAAATCCTGGAATTGGAAGGCTATCCAAAGGATTAACCTGGATGATAAACTCCCAAGCTCAGTCTTTCAAACATTGTATCATTTTGTACTAGGCTATTCCAAAACACTTCTAAACATTTCAAAAATTAAGTTTTAAATTTCCAATGTTTTCCTTTTTAGCAAATTTAGTTCCCTAATCAAAACCGGGGTCGTCAATCACATGAGCTACAGCTATAAAAGCTTAAAATCTCAAGATTTCTTTTGGTACTTTCAATCTAGATGGCCTAGATTAATCAAACCAATCTGTTTGCTTCCATTTTGCACTTTTTATTCTCGTGCTTAAAATTTTTTGCATTTTATGCGGAGCCATGCAATTTAGTTTGCATAAATGTAAGACCTTAGTCATATCTTTTAAATTTTCCATAAAATCTTAAAAATTAGTTCTTGGAATAATTTTTGGAAAGAAGCAGCAAATTTCATTTCAAAAATGTCCTGATCTGCCCAGAATTAGGAAACGGTCAATTGATTTGCAAGCATCTTCCTGTTTGGGTCAAGCTTCCGATGCTTGCCATATCCATGGAAAAATTTCTGGGACTCCAACAAATTTTCTTGCAGTGGAAACTGCATTTCAAAGTCGAATTGCCAAGGGGCCCTGCCTGAACAGGAAGCCGGCATTGCCTGATGAAAACCTGTTCTTAAATTTTTCCGCTTTCCCCAAACGTGCAGGGCTTTGAGTTAACATACTGCTTTTGGCAAAAGCTCTTGCCTTTCATATCTAGCCAATTTGCCCTTTGCTTCTTCGGCCATTATTTAGCCCCTGATCGAAATGATCTGGGTTAAATTTAGAATTAAAAAATTTTGGCAATTTAGTGAAGAAAAAACTGGCTGTGACATTTTAGGTTTGATTTTAAAACCTGCAAACATGCATTCCGGTATTTGGTTTTTTCACAACTCCCTGACACTTTGCAATTTCCTACTTTTATTGGTTATCCTGCCTGGAACTTGTTCTTTGCAAGGAATACTTTTTCCGTACTGTCAAACATGAATGGGCTCTTTTTTGTAGACAAACCTAAGTTTCCATAGCATTTCAATGGCCTGGGGAAAGTGCTTTCCCGCTGAGACTTAATTCTGCCGCTTAAATTTTTTAATTCAGCTTCATCGCCATTGTACCTGCTCCCTTTTCTTCCATCCTTCTATTCAGCCAAATGCATTCGCATTTATGCAGTGCCTTTTTCCCAAGGAATTCATGCTGCAGTTTTTTTAAATCCTGAAAAACCTAATGGAATGTGAGGCCCATCTGCAAAAAGCTTAATCAGGGCCTTAGTTTTCTTTTAACTCTTCCCAAGTGAGCTTAATATTCCTTTTATCAACCCCAAAGTAAATTGCAAAATTTTGTCCAAAAACTTTTTAAATAAATTTGCGGTTATTTCATTATTAGTCAAATAAGAATCATTCCCACAAACTTGAGGGCCCTCATCATTTTGCATGCTTACCGTAGTGAATTTCCCAAGCTCTGTAGTAACATGCCCACAGCATTGCACATTTGTATATTTAGGAAAAGGGGGCCGATTTTTCCAGCTTTGATTGACTGTCTATACAATTTCACTAACATGGAATTCAAAAGTTTAAAGTTTGGTTAGATTCCTTCCTTAATTTAGTTTTATAATAGCAAAGACAGCATTAGATGTCAAAATTGTAACCGTTAAATTCCTATGCCAATTTTGGAAAATTTTTGGCTGTTAATCCGCCTGGAGATGAATGCAGAACTTTCATTATGAAAATCCTACAGAATTTTGTTTTCCGGGCTCTGCAGATCCCCTGTCCCTTGAGACAAAAAATGGACACCCCGTCAATATAGTGAAAAAAAATCTTCATGGTTCAGCCAAAGTATTCAATTTGGGTTTTTCCGAAAATTAAAACAAAGTGGTTTTCTAATAGGGCTAGCGTTTCAAAGGGGAAGTAAATTTACTTCCGTTTCCCATTTCCCATGCTCTGCTTTCACTTAAGGACTAGGCCCGTCCGTGCAGTCTTTTCGGCTTTAGGTTTAAAATGCTCACAACAAGGGTATCTGGTGTAACCCTAAACCCCATCTCACTGCAGCCAACCCTTGGCATGCTTTAACAGCAATGGAAATTTTTAAGGCAAATTCAAACTTCTCCTGGTTTTTGTTCTGGATAGGAAGCAAGGACTGCTGTCTTTATTAAAAAGGGCAATCATTTTTAGCTCATTTTTGAACCATAGGCCCCTACATCTTTTCCAGCATTAATACTTTCAATCTGGTGTTTAGGGTTATCCCGAAACCGGAGGGTCTTTCCGGGGTCACTTCCTTTTAAAATAAAGTTTTTTCATTATTGTTACCTTAATGAAAAATTACCTCCAAACCATCATTATCCCAGATTACTTTATATTCTCAAAGGTACATTGACCCATGAATTCAAAGGCAATGGTTTTATCAGGTTCCAAGTAAGCCAATTTGGCCATGCATTTGCTTTCTCGCTCACACATCATTCCATTTATTTTCATTCAAAGCTTATTATTTTTTCACTTAAATTGAACGATGCACATTTTTTTCAAAAGTAAACTCAAATTTGAATTTAAAGCTTCATCCTCAGACAAAATTATTAAATAGGAACTTGATAATCATCCTTAATTTGCAGGTGCTTCATTTTTCCCCAATGGAGAAATTGAGAATTTTCTAATTTCTTGAGAAATTTCGGGTATTTTCAGGCTTTTACAATGTAAAACATTATCTCCAGTAAACTTAAACAGCATTCAATATTATTTTAAAAAAGAAAACTGCAACAAACAAAGTAAAAATAATGACTACAAATTTATGGCATTTAAACATTGAAGTTCCTATTTCCAACCTTTCAAGTGGTTGATCATTCCAGCTTGCCTTTTAATCTCCTTTAATACCTGTCTTGTCCCCGTGGGAAAGTGTTTTAAATAGCAAAAAGACTCTTGGGTGCATCTAAGTCGCTTAATCCTTGCTAATTACCCGAATAGTTCTTTGCAGCACTGTTTACTAAAAGGAATATGAAAAAAACAATTTAGCAATTTTTCAGTTCCTTTTTACAGATTTCATGTTCGGAATTCAGATATTGCCTGTTTGAGTAAATTATAGCTATTAATCTTAAAAAGAGAATAATTGCAGGCATGGCAATTAATTCTTCAGGAATGGGAATTCTCTTACGAAAAGGAATTACTCATTGAGTCAGTGCTTTGCACGAGAGTGTCAACCCATTCTCCAGCTTGAATACCTTACTGGGGCTTGCATTTCCCCGCTCTAGAAATATTTAAAATTTTTTTTCCCGAATTTCCCCTGGTTTTTTTGCCAAGTTCCAGTCTTTCTGGCCCCTCTTGGCAGCTGCATTTCCTTCGTTAGCAAAAAGAAATTTTTCCAATTTAAGGGGCAGTCATCTACTATGTTTGGCAGTTTACCTTGGGGAAAGGCCTGCGGTATGCCCAAGAATGGCTTCAATTACTGTTTTAAACTGCAAACCTTGAGCATTTGATCT